TTTTCTTGCCTGGGCTGGCTTCAAACCACGATCCTCAGATCTCAGCCTCCTGAGTAGCTAGGATGACAGGCGTGAGCCACCGGAGCCGAGCAACATCTGTCTTTTTATCACTTTTGTAAATGATGAGTACTTGGTAAATAAATACAAGCTGTCTGGCCCAAAGCATTAACTAGCACGAACGGTTTGCTGAGTTCACGCGGGAGGGCGTGTGAAGATTCCCACCTAGAGCAAGTCACCTGAGCGTGCGACCATGCCGTTTTGCCCCAGAGCACATGACAGACAGACTGACGATCTGTGACAAGTCACTCCCAGGACAGATGGGGTGGAGGAAGGGCAGGGAGAAGGCACAGACACCTAACCCGCCTTTCATGGTGAGTTGTTCCCAAACCTTCAGAATCATTAAAGGGGAAAGGGTGGCTGGTGCAGTCAGACTTGAAGAATGGCAATCCAATGTGCTCAGGGTAGGGGCGATTCCGCACCTGATCTTCGCCTTTGTGTCTTACCTTGTCAGTGGTGGGATTTGAACTCTGGGCCTGGATGCTGTCCCTCAGCTCTTCAGCTCAAGGTGAGCACTCTTACCACTTGAGCCACAGTGCCACTTCCAGTTTTCTGAGTGGTTTATTAGAGAGAAGTCTCACAGACTTCTGCCTGGGCTGGCTTTGAACCGTGATCCTCAGATCTCAGCTTCCTGAGTTCAGCTAGGATGACAGGCGTGAGCCACCAGCGCCCAGCTCAGCTTAGTCTAAAGATGACTTGAGACCTGAGGTGCCTGCTGTGGGGTGGGTTGGAGAACAGTGCTCCATGGAGCTCAGGTGAGGAGGAGAGGGAAGAGGAGGAGGAGGGGGAAGAAGAAGAAAGGGCCAAGAGCATATAAGGAGGGTGGAGACAGGGCCTGAACCCCTGTATACACTTGCACCCCTGGAGAAACATTACACCGGAGGCTTTGTGCTGAGAATTGAGGACAGTTTATTGTTTGACCAACATGCTGAGTCTTTTCCACATTTTTTTTTTTACACACAGTTGAATGTCAAGTCAAGATGGTCAACTGTACCCTCCGAGCCCGTGAAAGATGGATACACCCTGTGTGCAGTCTCAGGTAGCCCATCGCTGGGCAGGACAGGCCCAGGGAAAGGGAGGAAAGAAGTAGACACACCCCACAGACACCTGGGGTGGGGAGGAGGGGGCCGCCTCTCACCACCAGGCCACACCAGGAAGAAAAGCTTAAGTCCTAAGGAAATCAGAGAGTGCCCGAGGGGGGAGGGGCGCACACGCCTAGCCAGGTGCCTCCCCCTCCCCACCATCACCCCCTTTCACTCGGTCTTGGTTCTCTCTCATCTGTGACACAGGTAGGGTTTGGGCACAAGATCGCCTGGCAGCTGCCCCTCCCATGGCCTCTTGGTCATCAGCTAGCTCGGACCTCCTCCCCTGGCATTCAAGCTAGGACAGCAGCACACTGTCACTTTCCCATCCACCACGAGATGATAGGAATTGTGCCCCGGGCCACACACACACACACACACACACACACTTCCAGCTCCCAGCTGATAGTCCTGGTGTCTGTTGCCTGAGAGACAGCGAGCTGATCTAACTGGAGGCCCTGGGGACATTACAGAAGGTCTCCAGAGGGTGGCAGGAAGAGAGGCCGTCAGGCCTCTGGTCCACCCAGCCGGCTAACCTGGAACCTTCTAACTGCAACTCCCATTTCCAGCACCTAATGCACGGGAGCCACGGGAAAGTCAGGACAGCATCCAGGGAACCTAACCAGGTTACCATCCACCCTTAACTCAGAGGCCAAGTCCCACCTACCAGGAAGAGATCGGTGGCAGCTCCCACACAAGACTAGAGCCGAGAAACCAAACACAATTCTGTGAGAGAGATCTGCCTGCCTGAGTAGACTCCAAGAAGGAAGGGAACGAGCAAGCTGACAGAAGGGAGGACCAGAGGCCAAGGGCGGGGGGGGGGGGTCTTCAGAAATGGTCGTGCACAGACTTGCTAACACCATGTCCCATCCAACATCATCCTAACCTCTCTCTCTCTCTCTCTCTCTCTGCTTCTGCAGCAACAATATACCATGCATGGTACCTTGGATTGTGTGTACATGAGAAAGAACTTGGAGTTGCTACTTGTTTTACAGGATGGTTTGGTTTTTTTTTTTTTTTAAAGAAAAAGCTATTATTCAGTGCCAAGAAAACACGAATCCACCATACACACACACACACACACACACACACACACCTTTGCACTCATGCATGAGCCCGTGCACCAGCGAGGAGACCCACTTGGACTCCTATAAAAATTCTCACGAGGTAAGTAAGCGACTGTCAACAAGCACCACTTTGGGGGTGTGTCTGCAGGGGTGGAGGGGTGGGGGAGGGAGGAAACGCCGCACACCCGTGCGTATAGGTACATAGTGAAGTAGTAGTAGTAATAGTAGTAGAGATCATTCCCCTGGGCTAAGTTCGCCTGTAGTTTTAACACATCTATGCATTATTATTTCTTTTTTTTTATTGGTGGCAAGACAATCACGAGTTATTTGACAATATTGAGTATTTCTTATTTCAACACGGTTTTTGCAGTACTTCGAGAATTTCCCACACGGATATCACAAATGTTAAGTTCCGACTTGAGAGCAAGAAAGACGAGAAATATACATCGAGCACACGCATCTTGGTGTGTGTAGAGGGTGTGTGTGTGTGTGTGTTTGTAGGAGGTGTTTACACGAGTCTATCTCTATATATAATTATATACACAACGTAGAAAAAAAACACAAAAAACTAAACACGTTGACGTCTAGATTACGCTCGTACATTGGGTCCTCACTCAGTTGGAAGAAGTTTCCCATTGGGGGTGCCTGCTTCCTCTCTAGAGATCAACTCTTGACACATAGTTTCAGGCAGGGAGAAAAAAAAAAATGTGTGGCAGGCCCATTGTTACAATCTCAGCCCTGAACCTCTACCGCTGCCATTTCTGAGAAGTTCCAACAAAACACTCACCCTGTGGCCCATGCCAGCGTTGGAAAAGGAGCCAATGCCAACGTGGGGGTGGGGGTGGGGGGAAGGTTTGGTGACCATCGCTGTCTACACTGTGGCTTGGAATAGGCCAGGGACCGAGAATCTGGGGCAATTTGGAATGCTGGCCAGGCGGAGTTACGTTACTACAGAATTCTTATGTCAGAGAATTCCATCCAAAGACACAGGCCCAGAGATTTCCCCCCGGCCCTACCGGCGCCATCGAGTTTTTCCAGAATAGAACTCAGCGAGATGTAACGGCCAAGGGGCTTGAGAACTTGGATTCCCCCTCACCTCATCCCACCCCACCCCAAATTGTGCAGACATCCCTCTTCCCCTCAACCCCACTCAGATCATAAGTGGCACAGACTCTCAAGTTCTGGATACAGCATCACACATCCATGGAGTTTCTCAAGAGTCACACCAGCTCTGTGTGTGGACCACCGGCTGAATAAGGTTCAGAATTACAATGGGGAACCCCAGAGTCTTATCACACACACGTCACCACGGCAACCGGTCCTTCCCATGACCTCTTGCTCTGCAGGTCAACTTGGATGGGGAGAGGAGGGTGGTGGCAGGGAATGGGGAGGAGAGACAGAAGCGGTTCCCTGTTTGTTCCTTTCGGCTCAGGGGCTCTGTAGCTGTCTCTTCAGAGTCTGTCTCCATGTCACCAATGTTGCATTTGACCATGCAGAGATAGAAGTAACCTGGTCGGTTAGGGCTGGATGGCCTGAGACTAGAACCTAATTACATTTGTTCCGTTCATTGTTTTTTGTTGTTGTTTTTTAAATATTACCAGGCTGGAGTTGATGGGAGGAAGGCCAAGGTAATGAATGGGAAAGAGGACAGGAAGAAGGAGGTGCATGGAAAAGGTTAGAAGTTTACAAATATACAAAAGAAAAAGAAAAGAAGAAGAAAAGCACATCTTTCAAATAAAAAAAAAGAGACTACATTTTTCTTGTATCATCTGGCAAAAAAGTTGTATACACAGGATTTAAACTTCTTTGTTTTTTTTTTAAATTTTAACAGTTTTTGGCCATCTTAATAAAGTACAATATATTACAACCAAACCCAAAAAAAAAATAGTTGTATAAGTGACGGCTTGTTAAAGTGATGTCATTCCCTGATACCCATCCTCCCTCCCCATCCCACCTGACTCCTAGAGAGAGAGAGAAAAGAAAGAAAGAAAAAAATCCTCCCATCTTGATCAACTCATTTCCCACCCTATTAGGAAGCTAACCAATAGGAAGCCACACAACAAGCACGTGGTGTTGGAGGAAGCGGTGTTGGAGGGGGCGGGGAGAAGAGGAGGGCTCCGACTCTACATTAACAGGAACAGCCACCTTCGCTGGCTGGGGGCTCCTGGGGTTTGTCCAGCTTGATGTCGATCACTGTAGGAGGTGGGGCTAAGGAAGATGACTTACCCATGGGTTGCTGCTCTCCGGCTCTGTGTCCCTTGGGTAAAATACCCAGAGGCCTATGACTCTTGGCTAGAGTAGGAAAGATGCAGCCCACCGCCTCCCCACCCTCTTTTCTACTACCTGCATCCCCCCCCCCACTCCTGCCCCCCTTCCAAACTCTCCACCTAGAGTAGAGCTTATGTAGGGCTCTGTGGACACACAGGCTGGGGGAATCTGAGGTGCGGCTGCAGGCCTGGCTTTAATACTGACATTTCAGAAGGGTCCTAGGGAGCCGCACGGACCCCAATCCATGGAGGCCTAAACACAGCTCTGTCAGAACCACAAGAGCACAGCTGGTGATAACCAGGTGACTGTAGTGAGCGCCTGTGATCCTCCTTACTTGGGAGGCTGAGATCCAGAGAATCGGGGTTGGAGGGCAAGCCACCAGAGCTCATCTCTAAACTAACCAGGCTTGAGCTGCTGTGAACTCAAGGTCTAGGGTGCTGTCCCTGAGCTGCTTTTGCTCAAGGCTAGCGCTCTACCGCTTGAGCCACTGCGCCACTTCTGGCTTTTTCTGTTTAGATGGTACTTGGGAATCGAACCCAGGACTTCGGACATGCTAGGCGAGCACTTGACCACTAAGCTGCCTATGAACCTTTCTTATGGGAAGAAAACAAGGTGAGCCTCCTGTCTGGTTCCTCAGGTTCTAGTGTGGCTCACAGGTCACACTTAGGACCTCTTCCCTCCCCTCTTCCTCTATCCCCTCTCTGTGGTCCTCTTGTGCCAAATCACTGGGTACAACTCCACCCCTGGCAGCTCAGATCTACCAGGGGCACACATAATCGGCGCTCTATGTCTGGGGCATCAAAGCAATCCATTGCCCTGTGACTGGAAGTATGATGGGCGTGGCTATGCAAATGTCTGGCTTTGGTCCCAGGCTCTGTGAACGAAGCAGCTGCCTGGGCAGGCCCTGCGTGAAGGCTTCCTTGTCCTGTCTCTTTAGAACCACTTCATCAAGTGCCCAAGTGACAGCCTGTAGCAGCCTGGTTTGGAAAAGGGGTCCCTGGGACCGAACATAGCCTTTGGTAGCTGGTGGCCTCTCTCTCTCTCTTTGTTGCCCTCCAAGTTTGCTGTGTACTGAGAAAGTGGGTGGGTGGGGGGGGCATCATCTTCCAAATAACCGGGTTGGAAGCAGCCATCAACAACCACAGTATCAGCTGGGAGCATGCGTGGTCCCCCGCAGAGCTGGGAGAGACTCCAGGCACTCTACAAGGATGACGTTGCTAGTAGTGGCCGCTCTGGAGTCGGGGGTTGGGGGGCATCTGATCTGACTTCTGGGGGCAGGAAGTGGTCACCACTCACCCTGGCCGACCTATTTCCTGTTCGGAGCAGGAGGCACGAAGATCAAGGCTGGCCCTGGCTGCTGGGTGAGGTGCATCTTCCTTTCTTCCTGTGCGGCCTTGCGGGTGGCTTCCTGTATTGTCCCTAAGCACCTCATAGACAGTCCTACTTGGCCCAGTGACAATGAAGACCTTGCCCACACAACCCAGTTCTACTAAGGAGAGATCTGACTGTTACCTTGTCCGTAACTGGAGTCCTATGACTGACAGAGCAGCAGATAGTCCTGGGCCCGGTCTCCTGCTAGCACCGTGCATCCTCTGAGAACTCTGGGATTGAGCGGGTAGGAGAAGCTGGAAGGACCTATTTCCTTTAGAGCCGGCTTGAAGTGTCCCCTCGCTCCAGCCTCCATCCCCTCTCCCAGTGTCTGGACCCTACCTGGCTGCATCAGACAGACAGGTGACAGACGGAGGGACAAATGAAGCCACAAGGCCATCTCCACTTTGGCTTCCACTATTCAAGCTATTGTTTTTGGCTTTTTGTTGGTCATGGGACTTGAACTCAGGGCCTGGGCACTGCCGTCCCTGAGCTCTTTTTGCTCAAGGCTAGTACTTTACCACTGGGGGCCACAGCCACCACTTCTGGTTTTCTGGGAAGGGGTGGGGGTTCATTGGAGATAAAAAGTCTTCCAGACTTTCCTGCCCAAGCTGGCTTTGAACCGTGATCCTCAGATCTCAGCCTCCTGAGTAGCTAGGATGACAGGCGTGAGCCACAGGTGCCTGGCTTTTAATTGTTGTTGTTGTTTTTAATGCCTGAAGTGTGGCTTGAACTCAGGGCCTCATGCTCTTACTTGGCTTTTTGTTTTTTCTTTCTCACTTAAGGATGGCGTGCTACTGCTTGAGCCACACCTTCACATCTGGTGTTTTGCTGGCAAAATTGGAGCTAAGAGAATCTCACGGGCTTTTCTGCTTGGACTGTCTTTTGATACATGATCCTCAGATGGATGGGATTCAAGCTGTACCCCACGGAGCACACACTAGGAAGAAGGTGAGGATCTATATTCTTCTCTACGCTCATATCCCGGGCAGCCAAGGCCCACACCAGGCCAAGGAAGGCAGGGTAGAGGCTGGGCGAGTATCTCCTTGTAGCACAAAACCACCCCATGCGTCCAAGATAATCCTAGCACACCTTTCTGCTCCCGAGCCCAGAGAGAGGGGGAAAAGGATACTTCCTTCTTTGCTTTTCTCCTGGACGTTCTCCATGCCGGGCAGAGCAGACGCCACACGTCGGAAGAGCTGCCGAGAGAAGGCAGAAAGATATAAGGTGACGTCCCTCCTGTGTTTCCCCTTCAGAGTCTCCTCTCTGCAGACCTGCGGCTGGGGCTGGGGCTGGGGTAAGAGTCTCCCACAGTTCCTCTCTCCAACCTCACCACCGGTGGCCTCTTTGCTGTAGCCTGAATGGTCCTATGATGGTCTTGAGTGTTGGCCCTGTACACACCCAAGACGCTGATTGGCTGAATCCCTCCCTGTGGTGAGAGAGGATGCTGGGAAACAAGGTATCCATCAGCCACCTGTCCCTTAAAACTTTGTCACCCGAAGCCGGGCACTGGTGTCTCAAGCCACCTGCTAACTACTCAGGAGGCTGAGATCCGAGGATCTCAGCTCAAGCAGAAAAGGCTGTGAGATTCTCTTAGCTGCAATCTGCCAGCAAAATGCCCACACGTGAAGGTGTGTGGCTCAAGTGGTAGCACACTAGCCTTAAGTGGGGGGGAGAGGGGGTAGAGCCAAGTGAGAACATGAGGCCCTGAGTTCAAGCCACAGTCCGGGCATGAGAAGAAATAAAAGGGAGCTGAGCGCCGGTGGCTCACGCCTGTCATCCCAGCTACTCAGGAGGCTGAGATCTGAGGATCGAGGTTCAAAGCCAGCCCGGGCAGGAAAGTCCATGAGACTCTGATCTCTAATAAACCGCTCAGAAAACTGGAAGTGGTGCTGTGGTTCAAGGGGTAGAGGGCTCGCCTTGAGCTGAAGAGCTGAGGGACAGTGCCCAGACCCGGAGTTCAAGCCCCACGACCAACCAAAGGAAAAAAAAAAAAAAGAAATGGTGGGTGAACACATCGCCCAGACTGTCTTGCCTTGTATCAGCGCTGGATCCTGAGATTGCCTGTTTCAAGAGCTCGTGATATGTCTCTGCCACCAGTGGTGAGTGACCGATGGTGTCCACACAACTCCTTCCCCAGTTCTGAGCTACTCACCTGCTTCACGTTGTAGCCGGTCTTGGCGCTGGTCTCAATGAACATGACGCTGAGCTCTTTGGCACGCTGCTCCCCTTCCTCGATGGTAATCTGCCTGGAAAGGAGGGAGGGAGAGAGGCAGGGGGGAGGGAGGGAGGAGGGAAGGGAGAGATCAGTTCCCTAGAAGGGCAGGGCCTTGGGAAGAGGCAGAGGAGACACTGGGAGCTAGAGTCCCTCTCAGGGCACAATTCATAGTCTCTCCAGGACCAAAGGGACACTGAGGCACAAAGGGCCCCCCTCACGGCCCTTTCCCTCCTCCTCCTCCTCTTCCCAAGATCCTTAGCTGCCTGCTTTTCCCAGGTTTTTTTTTTCTCTCTCTCTGGTCAGTTGTGGGGCTTGAACTCTGGGCCTGGGCGCCGTCCCTCAGCTCTTCAGCTCAAGGTGAGCTCTCTACCACTTGAGCCACAGCACCACTTGCAGTTTTCTGAGTGGTTTATTGGAGATCAGAGTCTCACAGACATTCCTTGTTCCTTGCCCGGGCTGGCTTTGAACTATGATCCTCAGATCTCAGCTTCCTGAGTAGCTGGGATGACAGGCATGAGCCACCGGTGCCGGGCTGCCATCTGTCATTTTATATACCCTGGTTAGGGTCACAGGAGCACAAGCTGGCCTGGGCCAGAGTTCAGCTGTGCAGAGGACACAGCCACA